GAAATGGTTTAAGGCATCCACCAGCTGCGTCGCGATTGGGCGCGCCTTGGTTATGCTGTGTTCGGACAGTACGGATGTGGAGAACCCGTGATGCAGCATGCGCTGCTCGGCTTAGGAGGGGCGTTTCGCACGTTTGCTTGTTCCTGGTAAACTGCACGTCGTACACTGGTAAGATGTGTAGATTTTTGTCAACCATAGCAAGCGTCGGCAGTGGCAATGGAAACCGGCAAAATGTCCCCTCTAGACCAAATGCGCCTCGCCGATACGGTAGCACGTGCGAAAAAGGAAGCATTACTGGCTATATCGGTGACAAAGGATTACATGGGAACCGACTGATTCTGTTCTGCAGCGCACCGCGGATTACCCAAAAGGGCTCTTCAAAAACCCTAGCTGGCTAGTCAACTGGCTAGTGAGCTACAAGTCAGCGGATTTTTTTGCAGACTCTCCGAGATCACAGATTCTTCCATTCGTAAAAGTATGGTAAACCAAATGGGAAACCCCTAAAAACTAGGATGTACTGGTCGTCAAGGGATTGGAAAAAAAGAAAAAAAATTACCATCATAGGAGGGGTGTTGTGATAGATATCCGTATAGATTCCATCTTCGTGCAACAACGGAGCTGTAGTTGCGACTTTCACAGCATCGTCAACTTCCTTGCGAACTTCCTAAAAGTCATTATCATGGCAGTTTTTTGAAAATAAAAGAAAGCTACTAACTAGACTATCGACTTGCTGTGAATAAAACTGGTAAATGAATATAAATTATACCTTATCGATTGCTTTGAGATCATCCTCCTTAGCGAGTCCCGAGGTAATAAGGCGATCCTTGAAACCAGTGATTGGATCACGAGTTTTGCGAACCTCCTGGATTTCTTCACGGGTACGGTAGCTGAAAATCGATGTTTGATTGGTATGATTTGAAAAATTGGCGGCAATTTACCTTGTCCCAGGATCGGACATGGAGTGTCCAGAATATCTGTACGTGGCTAGTTCTAGTACTAAAGGTCCTTTACCAGCGTTACAGTACTCCTTCGACCAACGAATCGCTTCACGAACCGCTAACACATCCATACCATCAACCCAGACGCCGGGAACGAAATCGCCTCTGATCAACACAACTATAACCGTCAATAGCGACAAGCAAGGCAGAATGAGGCACAAACCTCATATAGTAATCGGTTGAGGCGGATGATCTCTCAGCCTGTGTTCCCATACCGAATCCGTTATTTTCACATACATATACAACAGGAAGATTCCAGAGCATGGCCATGTTTGCAGACTCATAGAGTTGACCCTGGTTGGCGGCGCCATCTCCGTAGAACGTCAAACAAATGTTCTTTTGCTTTCTACAAAATACTGTTTGACCATCATAATCTATTATACAACGGAGTGGAAATGGGAAC